AGTAAATAGGTATTATTTTAAGGCTAATGTACTGAATTAGAGAAATAGAGTTTATAAACTGCAGTTTTTTGAAAGAAAACATGCTTCATTGGGTGACATTTGCTAAAAACACTTGCCTTCACCATGTCTTGATGCTTTTGTAGCTTATTTATGACTCTGTTAATGCAGTCTGCTCTGGTGGTGATGCTCCCACCTAAGCAGTAATATAAATCAGTATGATGCCAAAAGTCAACCACACTGCAACATTTTAATGCAGATGGATAACAGAGACTCATGAATACAAAATGCTAGAAATCAATAGTAAAAAAATATATCCAGTCATGCCAAAGCAGGCTCTAACCTTCTTCCCTTGCAGAGCTGCATCGTGCCCAGGTGGCACCAGCACCTACATGGCCAGGTTCTCTGCCTGCAGCAGGAGAGCTGGGTGGTGCTGATGGTTCACTGAATGACACTGTGGTATGAGTCGGAAGTGAACTAGCAGACTGGGAATTACTGGGGTTGTTGGCTAGGACCTTGTCTCCTCCCTGCTAACAGAAATACACATCAAACACACTGAGAAACTGCCCCACACTGTCTGACCACCACAGAGCTAAGTCTCAGTTCCGAGCGCATATATACATAAAGAAGAAGTAGCTCAGTTAGTAAGTCGGTAAATCAGCATACACGAGACCTACTACATCGGTCCTTTCGGTCCTTTTCCATTGTTACTTCCAGTATTTTGGTTCAGCTCCAAAGAAATAACTATACCTCAGTTTTACCCTCAACTTTTTTTTTTCCTTCTTGGCCAAGAAAAATGTTCAAATTCCTGCAGATCAGTGGCAGCTAGTTTTGGGGCAGTATAGGGACAAAACTTGAATTCAGTGAAAAGGAACACATCAAAACATGTTCAGATATGGTTGTGGATCACTGCAGGTATGTGCAATGAATCTTTCAGTCAACCAACACCTCCCCTGTATTCAAGACTGTTGAACAGATTTAGTGTTAGCTTCTTTTGCTTTCTTTAGCCCTAATGCTTTATGAAATAATAATCGAGACCTAAATAATAAATAAACATACAAATAATCGCATACACCATTGTGGAAAGTCCTGCCCTTTCCTTCTCAAAAATCTTCAGATAAAGCCGTATCATCAAAATAAACACATATTCTGAGGTATTCTCTTGCCAAAATGGGAACAGAGCTCTATTATTCCCCAGCTGGCACACACAGAGTAAATCTTTACAAAAGGTACGTTTCCTCCTGCCTGGAGATACGCAAAGCCAAACAAGGTCTTACAGGGATTTTAATTTCATCTTCCATGTAGCCAGGGAGCTTTAAGCTCTAGTGCTTTTAATTTATGTTACCTCATAAATTAATAATGTAGATATGATGGAGGGCAGATCATCAGATTAAATGTGTCATTTTATAAAGCAGTTTGGAAGCAAAAAGTATGAAGCCAAAATGAAGTACTCTTAAATGATCCATTAGGCACATAAATCATTACATGTGTTATTTCTGGACTGGACAATGGTTGAAATTAATGATAATTCAGTTACTGTAATTTTATTTTAAGCTAGCAAGTCTTTGCACAAGAAACAAGAGTGCAGCGAAGAGCCTGGAGTGCTCTTCTGTGGCCTGCTGGAATTTTCTGGGTCACTTCCCTATGGACACAGACCTGTGCGGAGGATGCACGGTCCCCTGGGAGCAAGCGTGGGACAAGTTCTCCCTGATCGATTTAGATTTGGGCACAACTCTTTCATGTGATGGAGCTGTACAGGGAGCACACATCAGTCTGTATGTGAATGCAGGTATTTTGGTTTGCCTTCATTCATTCTCAGAAGTAGGGAAGGGATTTTATTCATCATCAGGCTCTGTGAGACTGGATACAATTTGGATGGTTTCAGCACTGCCTCAGTGAAATCACTGGTGATTCCCTCCCCGTGCTGCAGACACAACTGGCAAGTCTAGCAGGGCTTACACAGGAGGTTACTTACCATGCAATGTGGGTCAGTCAGAATCCTTAATGCTTTACATTGCAGCCTAATACTCAAAATCTTACAAAGAGACAGAACAAACCTCTTCTTAATCTGCTACTATAAAGTTTTGGTGCCAGATTTACTACTGTGGTATATGCTAGAAAATGCGAAGAAACTGGTACAGCTTTAACCTGGTTTGTGTCCACAATAAATATGTTCTCCTGTGAGATTACAGAACATACACATTCATATCTATATGGCATAGTACATACACCTGCAGGTATAATACAGTAGCAATTCAAAACCATAATAAACCATACAATCAGTATAAGAGGGAAGGCTCATCTATTCACTGCTCCTACATTCTATAATCCCTCTTTTTTGTATTTTTCCTAATGATCACCGTTCATTACATGTTCTTTAGCTGTACGGCGAGCTATACTGAGGCACGCCTGCCAGCTCAGACCTCGCAGAGCCACCCACCCAGGCAGGGGCGGTGTGAAGGCACTGTCTGTGCTGTGCTGAAGGCAGGCTCAGCTGCCCAGCCCTGACGAAGAGGTGGTGGCAGCACAGGTGTCCTCGGGAAGATTTGCTGCCAAGACACTCAGGTGTCTATAGATTTTAGCAACCTGCCTAGGCAAGATCTGAGAATCCTCTTGTTTACTACCTTACTACTAAGGTGACTTAGATGTTATATTTGTACCTTCTTCCAGTACCTACTTTTCATTTATCTCACTGCAGATTCCTGCCAGAGAGCTCAGATAATAAATTAAATATATGAAGGTGAAGGATAAATGCAGCAGCAAGTGATTAAGCAAGGTGTTTTTTTTTTTTTTGTTAGTTCCATATCAGAACTGTCCATTTTGATTATCTAGAAGCCCATCCATCCACTGCCTCCATAACATGTCTGATTGTGCCTAGAGTACAAGCTTTTCTGAAGATGGTAATGCCTCATCCAGACCTGCCAAGTTTCTGTATAGCTGTGTACATACACACACACACACACACATATATACATGTATATATATATACAGACATGCACACACACATACAAATTTGCACAATAGGGGGAATAATTAGGAGAGGATTCTGGAGCCCAGAACCTGACTTACATACATGTGAAATCTCAGGTGTACTGCAATAGGCAGATGACCAGGAATTCTTTTTTTTTTTTTTTTTTCTCATTAGCAGCTAGTGCAGCAGCACCAAAAGGTCTCAGTTTGGATAATGGACATGCTGGGGCAGACGCCACATAAGCACATGATTCTATGATTTTAAGGCACAGTCCTCCCTCTGAAGCACTGTCTCATGCAGAGAATACAAAGGAATCTGAGGTCTGCAGTGACTTGCTCAAAGCCACAAAAAAAAAAAAATCTGCAGCAAAGAGAGGAAACAAAGCCAAATCTCCAAATATCTGTTGACCCTGACACCAATAAAAACTCTGCAAATTAACCCCAGCCAATGTGCTAGTCAGACTCACAAATGCACATTCTTCACTAAGCCTGCTGTAGGCTTATTTGTAATGATGTCCCCCTGCATCCCAAATAGGCTACAGGGCTTGCACCTGCTCTTCAACTCAGTCATCATTTAATTAAATGGAAGACAGAAAACCACCACCCATATCAATTAACTGTGGCAATGAGGAGCGTAAGACTCTGGTTTTAACCCCAGGGATCTGGTGAACCACAGCCGTTCACCCCAGAATTCATCAGTATTTAAAACATTGTCTGATGGCAACTGGAAAGAAAAATACTGACAGAACAAAGAAACTAGAATATAGCTGTTTGGGGCTAGCATTTGTTCCTGTTTTTAGATTAAGCTCTTTCTTTCTCTAACCTCCGTACTTTTCTCAACCCTGAAGCCCCCATATCTGTTATGGACTAAACAACAAACTGAAGGCTGAAGTGCAGGAAACACAGCATCTTATGCAAATGTCTTTAATTCTGGACTGCTTTAGGACCTGCAGTGAACAGTGCAATTCCTTTATCTGTAGCTGCCTCAGTGATTTAGGAGAGAAAGAAAATACAATAATGGCTAAGAAGCACAATTTAAACATTAATAACCTTAACCCTGGTAATAAGAGGTATAGCATAATCAGTATAACTGAGTAACCTGATTTCTTATGTTTCCCATAGTGAGTTTCCTCCTCACTGCTGCACAGCTGGAAGCTGAGAAATGTGCATTTCATACTGTTTATTTTCTGAGCTACTTCATTAAAAGGCTGTGAGTCCCACTGTGTAACAGAAGGGGAAAAGGTTGTTCACATCCTTCCATGTATCAGGGAGGCTCTGACACAGGACGTCCTGATGGCTGATTCATCCCATCTGTCCCAGGCGCCTCCCTGAAGCCAAAAGGAGATGAGATGAAGGAGCGTTCACGAAGAGGCAGTCCTTCAAGCAGCTAGAGCATCCTCATCTCTCAGGGAGGATGGGCACTCAGGGCTTTCCATGAGTGCTTTAGGCTCAGTGGGTTTGGCTGGCTGTGAAGAAAAGGTGTGCTGAAGACAAAACACTGTCCTCGGTTATGACTGCACTTCCTCCCGGAAATAAACAAAACAGCTCGAGTTTAACTGGGATCAGAGTCTGGCCTTAGGTGTTAGGGGCATAATGCCAGGAAAATACTGTAATACCTTTTACTTGGCTATTCGAGGCACTGCACAAGTCCTGATTGTGGAAAGAAGAGCTTTCTCTGCTTACTCAGACATTGCCATAAAAGTCAGCTGTAAGGTAGAGGAAGAAGATACTAATAAAGAAAATGATGGCCACGGGAGTCTGTACAGAAACCTCTTGAGAAGTAATTACAGAAACGGTGGACTTTCATTAACTGACTTGTATGTATTTCTAATAAACCCAGACTTACTCCTTTTGGAGTCAAACTGTATTAAGAGTAATAGCAACAGCTAGCATACAACAGAATGAATTCAGAGCACCTTTTAACAAACCTGAAGAGGAAAGCAACTGCGGGTTTGATGTAATGCACAAAATGTTGGCTTAGAGGCAGAGCAACATGCAAGAGCCACAGGAGAAAAAAACAAAAGCTCCCATACCTGTATCTCTGCTTTGGAGACTGCTTTTCAGCTGACTTAAAAACATGTCCAAGATAATACAAAGGAAAGAATAAAAAGTTCCAGTTTGTTGCAAACCATGTTAGAGTGAAGGGTGCATCGAATTTCTTAAAGGTTAGTTTGGCTAGCTGGGTTGAACCCGACCAGGAGGAGCAGACACCCAAGACCACGGCCACACCCCAGAAAATTTTCTTGAGTTGTGTCACGGAGCATTTCCAGCAACAGCGGCTCACCCTTCCACCGCCTTCTGCCCCGGCTTGCATCTGTGCTTCTGCTGGGGCTGGAGACTCCCGGGAGCGCTCATCCCCTGGGGAGAAGAAAACACAAGGCTTACTGAGGAAATCTGGGCAGAATTTTAGTTTTCCCATCCTGGGGCCTTCTGAAGTCAGGTGGGGCTTTACCAGCCAAAATAAACAAATAAACACAGATCTTGCCACAAAATGTCATTCATTTTTAGATCATTGCAAGGCCTCTGGTTCAACTAAGGCATGGTTAGAATGTAAATAATAATTATCACCTCTAGATTTAAAAGCCACTGAGTAAATGGAAATTAAAATTACATGTTCTGATGTATGTAGAAAGATTTAACACGCCGCTTAAAACTGATGCTTTAAGGACATGTAGATGAATGAAAAACACAGCACTGAATTTGGTAGAGCAGCAAAGGGGATTGCAGCAATAGCTGGAATCGTTATTGTCTTGGAAAACGTGGAATTGGGCAGCTTATGCAATATGACGTTTCTTTAAGAGGAGGGAGGGGACAACGTAGTAACCCTGCAGTGAGCATCCTCACTGCAACATTCGTAGCATGACTAATGCAACTTGGATCACCCAGCACTTCCGTGGCCCCTAGCTCTCCTGAGGCAGCTGCCAACAACTAGACCAACCCACAGGCTGCCCTGAACAGCGTCTCAGCCTAAACAGCCCTCACTTTTTTCAGTTTGAGTCCTGCACCAGATGTGACACAGCACGTTGACTTCTCCCTGGTTTAACCAAGCCCAGGATGCTGCTGGAAAGCCGGGTTTCACACTTGCCTTATGGCTGGACCCAGCATCCAGAACCCCAGAGAGGAGGCAGTTCCTCAGCCGCACACCTCAGCACCCAATGGCCAAGTTACGGACAGTGTACAAACCAGGAGATGATTTTGAAAGACAGCAACTATTGCTATTTCTGATTTTTACTTGTATCTTTAAACATGAATTGTTAGAGTCCTGACATCTTACCACTATCAGCAGATGCTGTGTCCAGGCTGTAAATGAATGAGCAATGCAGCGCCAGGTGGTTCAATTCCTACTGAGATCAAAAGGTGCTGGCAGACCTCAGCAGCCGGCCACTGTCTTTAGGGCTTTCACCTGCTGTAAATTAACTCCATTCAACATCTCCTGAAGCCATCAAGTCACCTGCATGCAACAGTCAGCAGGGATTTCTCTTAAAGGCTGATTTGTTTAGTTGGCTCATTCACTGTAAGCATGAAGTAATAGTGATTTATGCTGAAAGCCAGGAGCCTACAACTTCAAAAGCATCTGAAGGCCACTGCGTGTATTGAAAGGTGGAAAGAGAAATGTAAATACAGCCAGGATAATGAGGGACTATACTGCCAAATACTTATCCATTGTCAAAGCAGACTAAGGGATCCACATATGGAAGTCCCTTATATTGGTGGGAATCAGTGGCTGGAATGGACAATCTCTTAAGACATCTTATTTCAGATTAACCTAAATTTATATTTACATAAGCTAATACATTATTAAATGAAAGGTTTATTCCAAAGGAGAGAAGTATTTAATTATTCTTTTACATAAAAGAAATGTTTGATCTGAGCTAAGAGTACCATTAGTTTGCCTAGCAAAGCTGTATTTTGTAACCGTCTGATATCTTGAGATCTATGAAGAGTATTCAGCAGAAAAGGAATAAACATCTTGATTTCTGTTGGTGTTGCTGAGTGGCTTTAAAGAGATGGGGATGTTGCTGAACTCTTCACTTGTTTCAGTTTTCAATAGAAGACTGTGTGGGCAGCTTCCCACATAATGGGAGATGCATCAGCAGGCCAATGAATTATCCAAAGTTAATGTAGCATTGTGTTAAACATACAACGGGAAACTCAAAAGCTACCTTCTAAACACTGGAAGAAGCTAGAATTGAAATAAGGGTGAGGCTCTAGCTCATTCTAAACATTTTAATACATTTTCTTTACACCACTGCTTGTAAGTAATGTTCCTTCTTCCCCTATTGCCTGGCATAGACTGGTTGGAGTTCAGTTTGCTGTACAATGATACATTGGTTTCCTTTAACTTCACCAAATAATGTGCAGCTACCAGCACCTTCTTTACTGTCTACCAAACACGTCCTGCAATTATGGCTGTAATTTTAATTTCCCCTCAAGCCTTTCTAATGGGCGCTGCCACTGGAAGACCAAACACTTCCCACACCTTCAGGAACTCCCCTTGGCATGCTTCCCATGGGCCAAGGAGCATGAAACCAGCATTTAACCCCTTTCTGCTGAAGATATTTAACAGCAGGGAACATGTCTGAAGCCACTGGGATATATGATATCCTAAGACAGGTAGGTGCTCTGAATGACAACACTGAACTTGTGTTATTTTTCCTAAAATAAGAACTGGTCACTGAGACAGCAGGATAATGTGTCTGGTCTCTGGGGTCCAGTGGTTCTGGCGCCCACTGAAAAGGGGGAAAATCACAACCACACGCCCTGACCCACCAGGCACTCAGTATGAAGTAATGCAGTGTTTGATGGACACCCCGCTACAGACAGCATGGTGAGGATCTTCCAGGCTGAAGATGCCTGTCCTGCTCCCTGTTACACCATGCACGTACTCATAAGCTAGCAGTTCATCTGGACAGCTTGTATGCAACACCACTATTTTTTAGGTCTATTCTATGGCAGTTGGTCCCTATGAAATAAAGCTAAACTTTACTGATGTTCTTTCTACTCCATAGGCAAAATGACTCATCCATGTACATCTAACTTCGTGTTCAATGCACCAAGACAATCACTTTCAGCACAAGACAATACTGAGTGTACCACTTCTACAGTGATATTGCTGCTCAAGGCTTAAGTTTCTAGGGATGCTCATTCTTTGGATGCATTTACATGCTGCATGGAGTAAAAACTTATCCCAGGCATGACACATTTCATGGTGATGGACTGCAAATTTTGGGGTAAAAATCACTGTTGGCTTATTAAGAGTTACAAGCGGGGACTTCTTTTAACTATCTGGCTGTGAAACTGCATCACGTGCTCATTATTTCCTGTGCTCCCAGATTTTCTGTGCTTCTGTCACAAAAAGCCAGACTGTCTTTGGAAAAGGTGGAGGCTATAGATAATATATACACACATCATCCCCTCTGTTCATTTTCTGTGTTGGGGACCTGCCTGCTGGCTCCATACACAACCCCCAGAGCTGTAGTTCTCCTTGTCCACTCCCTGTGTCCCCATGGGGACAGTTTTCCTTGCACAAGTCACAGGTGCAAGGTGGGGTGATGGCAAACCCACACGTGGGTGAGAAGCTTCTCATCCTCTTTCTAAAGCTGCACAAGGGCCAGCTGGCATCAGACTCCATAGCAATTTAAAGATGGCAAAATGGCTTTTCAGAACAGATGAGGCAGGACTTTAAAGAATTTTATTTCTGGGTATTTTCCTCCAGACTTACTGTTTTTTTTTTCCCTTTGCCCCATGAAGCAGACTGCTCTGTATGCTACTATATGCCCCAAAAGAGTAAATCAAGATGCTGAGATAGTTGAAAAATGCCTATCTTGCTTTTACTAAATTTGGCTTTCCTTTCTCCTGTTTGATCATTCCTTTTCCTGTTTCATAAATCCCAGCTGAAACCATTCCTCCCTCCCTTTCAGCCCAGCCTGTCTCCTGTGGCATTCAGAAACACCTGAAGGAAAACACCTCCAATGCCAGTGCCCTCTGGGATCCTCAATCCTAGAACAGACATCCTCTGTTCCCCCATTAGGACCCCTCTTGGCTAACTTCAGAAACCTGCAGTAGGAACACCCACATTGGAGCTAGTCATCCCCAGTTCATGATTGAGTCCAGGGAGAGAAATGGGCACCAGAAGGCACAACTTATCCCACATCAGGTATATGCTTTCAAAGAAGTGCCCTACCTCGCTGACTAGAGATGCAGTGGGTTACAGAAAACCCACCCCACACTGGCATCCCCTTAAGCAGCCTGTCCAGACCATTTCAAGGGTTTTAAGCCTCGCTTATGGCTTAAGACTCCTGTGCACAGCTCACCAGTTTACGACTCGCCATGAGGCAGAACCTCACGGTGTATCTTCAGAATGTGATACTGACAGAAACCAAGGGTGGCATTCAGCTTATCAGTTTGAGACATCTGCTGTGCAGACTTGTATATCTGAGACAGTCATTTACACTTTCTGCATAGTTAGTAGACAGAAAAAAAGACATTTCCATAGCACGATTTATCTCATCCTAAAGTAGACGATTAAAACAAGCCAGATGAATCACCCTCTCCAAGTGCTTGTTTCTCTCCACCAGCCCTAAACAGTCTGGGGAGAGAAGCCCACAAGTGGGTGTCTTTGGTGTAGGTGCCCAAAGCAGGGTGAGATGTGTCCCTCCTCTCCGCCACCGCTGTCAGGAACCAAGGGTAAAGCCATGGCAGGCAGCGCTGGCAGGCTCTGAGCTGGGCCCACGACACAAACATGTATAGCTGTCAGCAGCAAGCTGCTCTCGCTGTTCCCAGCTCGACAGCAAATGACAGAAAGAAGTACTACAAAAGCGCAGGGTGCCCTTGCCAGCCCTTCAGAGAGAGAAAGTGACCCTCGCAGACTAAGGTCCTGTCTGTTAGGGACTGATACATGTGCCTAATGATAATGTACAACTCCCTCAGCTTCCCCAGACTATGAACATGCTTGCATGTGAGCATAATGTAAGCATATTCTTAAACAGCTCTTTAAGGCACGCTTCTGAAAAATCATTGACAGAAGGAAGAATCCTCACCGGTCTCTCTAACAATTACAAATGAGCCATCCTCAAGGCATCTGTATTTTTCTAGCCTCTTAAATGTTTTGTAGCTGTTTGGGTGTTGCACAGAAAGTTTGTAAAGCTTGCAAAAATATTATTTGCTTCTAACAGATATGGGAGATGTCTCCTGTAAGAAAGCACCTGATCCTCAGAGTGGTTAGGAGCTCTAGAAACCCATGCCATGCAGGGGGCTCAGAGCTGGGCACTACACAAGGTATATTCACACAACTATTTGCCTCAGTAGCAGAGTCCCAAACTCCTCCAAGTGTTTTTATCCCATTTTCATCTACCACA